TTTTATTGTAAATCATCTTTATTCAGACAAATACTGCAAGTGAGAGGTTCAGAACCGGTCTAAAGGGACCATGGGATCGTATTTATAATTATTCTGCAGGAAAATAAATGCATTGACTGGATAAGTTATTCATTAATTGCGTAACGAGTGGTGCAACCAATTTAGGGAGACACTGAATTTAACTGAAAGTGCAGCATTCATTTGATTAATTGATGAAAATGTCTGATTTGATTGTTTGGCAATATTGTTTGTTTCTTTTGCTAAGTATTAAAAAATAAAACTGAATAACAAGTTGGTCACAAACAGAAACTTTTATAGTAAAATATCCCAGCTGATCTAAAATCTTTCTGAAAGAGAGCCTCTCAGAGCGTTCCACAACATCAAAAAATATCCTTTTTTTAAATAAATAAACACAAAAGGAAAATTTATTTAAAAAAAACACGTTTTTTTTGTTAAAAATGTTTTTTTTTCCAGATTTCATAACCTGGTACCAAACAGGGAACACATGCAAATAGAAGAAAGATTTATTAAGAGACAAGTTTCATCATCTGCATCATACATCTGCTCTCTTCACATAGTTTGGCGGTAATGAACAGTTCATGCAGTGAAACTCAACCGACCATCTGTGTGTTTTCCAGGTAGCTAGATACAGGTGTCAACCATGATCCCCCCTTAATGACGCACAGTTAGACCCCGGTGGAGCGTTTGGGTGTTTGTGTGTGCAGAGACACACGTGTACATGTTCTGTCTCCTGTGGATTATCGATGGTCCAGCTGAGATGTGAACCTGTTTGTTTATTCGCCACACGGGACTTGGGAAAATCCTCAGGTGACTCTAAGGGAGGGAGTCACCCATCTGATCCTTAAAGCAAATAAAGAAAGATCCTTTAAACCTTTGCACCTGTGTGTCAGGAGGATACGTCCTCTTAGGGGTCCTTCTGGCAGCTTTTTTATTACCACAAAGTTTGTAATAAACCAAACAAGGCAGACGGAGGGTTTTAATTTCATTGCTCCTCATATTGCTGCCATTTTCTCATCTTTATCTGCTCCCAGACTGTTTTTAGTCGACCAATGAAGCTTTCCATCTCCTCATCTGTTCTTTGTTTCTCATGCTGATTGATCCATTTTTCATCCTTTGCTCTTACAGTGTGGGACACTCTAATTTCAGCTCGCCGGCAACGTTCACCTTTTTATTATCCCGGCTGTGGACTTTCACCCAGACAAGCTGTACCAGATGCGTAGCATGAATCACCGAGCAATTGTGCTGTGCCAGCTTTCCATTTTGTTTATATAGCTAAATGTCTGTGTCCTTGTGTTTCTAAAAAGTTTCTATCAGTGCTGAGAAATGACCTCTAAGACAAGCGCTTACTTCACTGCAAAAAAATGAAATCTAAATAAGCCATTTCTTCTTAAAATAAGTGCATTGTTTCTTGAATTGAGGATTTAAGTGAGACACTTTGCCAATGGAACAAGACAATTTACAATTAACATAAGAAAGACAATTGCATTGTCTTATTTCAAGTGCGTTTTATCTAGATACCTTATTTTAAGAGTAAAAATACTAATTCCTTTGGCAAATCATCTTATTTACCTGCTGAAATTAAGGGTAAATACTCTTAATTTAAGACATTTTTATTCATTTTGAGATCATTTTTGCAGTGTTTACCATAAAAAGTTGTTTTTTTTGTTTGTTTGTTTTTTCCTATGGACAACTTTATTCAAAGGATCCAGAGAAAACCTTTCAGCAGGGGCTCATTAGAAAAGTGAGAAAATCAATGCAGAAAACATTAATGGAAAAGCTGTTGAATGAGGGATGAAGAAAGCAAAATGTTCATCAACGTTGTCGATTTTACTTAACAAAATCAACATATTACACAAAGAGTCTAAATTCATACATCTCTTCTTTAATAATCTTGTAAATCAAATGTAATAATGGAGCAAATATAAATTAGCTCCAACATTTTATTGTCATTACACGTCCAGAGCAATGAAATGAACTCTCTGCATTTAACCCATCCCCATGGTGAGTAGTGGGCCGTCATCATGTGGCAAGTTAAGGGTCTTGCTCAGGGACTGAGAGTGGCAGTCCATGGGAGTGGGGCTTGAACTCAGATTTCCAAGCTCAATGCCCCAACCACTAGTCTGTCACTCCCCAAAGCACCCATTAGCATTAAGGATCTTGCCACATTACCCTGGCTGGGATACAAACCCAGGCTTCCTGTTTGCAGGAAGGGTGACTTACCACTCGAGCTAGCCAGCGCCGAATTATCTCTGCATTTAACCCATCCCGTTGGAGAGTAGTAGGGTTGCCGTTGTGCGGTGCCGGGGGAGAAATCGGGGGTTCAAGCCTGGTTTATACTAAGAAACCAGGTCGTCTGCGTGTGATTCGCAGTTAAGGCAGATGCGCCCTCCCTTCTGCAGATACTCTGGTGCACATCCCCGAAATTGTAGGTGACTGCAGACAGTGCCACAGATAGTGTTGCAGGGAGGAGAGAAAGGAGGCCTCTGATTGGTCAATTCTACATCCGCTCCTCACTCTGCGTATGTCCCGTTTGGTACCTAATGTCAGAAACTCTGACTGTAGTGCCGTCCATAACGCCTGGCACACCTCGGACACTATCTCAGACACCGTGCATGATGCTAGTTTGTTGCATGACGCTCTGCAACGGTCTGTTGGTTTGCACCTGAAGCCAAAACAGGCAGCGCCACGGCCAGTGTTTCGGGAAAACTCACAGGTGAACTGTGTGTCAACCAGCATTGGATGAGGGGTTGTAGATGGCATACAAGCAAACCGAAACACGGACACCCACAATCCTAGCTAGTTCGTGACTGTCCCTCTTGCGAAACTGGGCATAAATCAAAAATATCTGCGCCACACCTGCGACAAGCTAACTGCGACACACTCCTGCAGGAATATAACCATCCCTTAAGAGTCTTGCTCAGGAACCCAGAGTGGAGGTAGTGGGATACGAACCAGGTACTTGCAACTTTTTCAGAGCACAAGCACACTGTGTCTATCCAAATAGGCCAACACCCCCCCTTCACGTAGTTACCTCCTTTAAGCTATGCTCAGGGACTCAGAGTGGCAGTCTGTGGGAGTGGGGCTTGACCTCAGAACCTCAGGATTTCAAGCTCTATGCTGTAACCACATGGCCACCTCTCTCCCTGCATGACAGAACTGACCACTGGCTTTACTTCCAAATTCATGCATTATTTATGACTTCTCTAAATTGATTTGTCTCCTCATTCTACATGATCTAAATTAAAATGAGAACTTTTTTCTTAGCTAATACGTTGAATATATATTTGAACAAATACAGATAAGTACAGATGGTAAACTGACTTTGATGTTTAGTGGCAAACCAGACTGACAGCAGGTGATTGAGACTGGACTGTTTGCCCAGAAACAAAATCATGAGAGAGCAAACACCCCAATAAACCAGACGTCGTTTTGACGTTGGTTTTTTGCCTAAATTTGATCGGTCTGTCATAGTCATGATTTAGTCCAGAAATAGTTGTTGAGAATTGTGCTGTTTGCTCGGTTTGATTTGTCTCACTTTAGTCCAATAATAGACTTTGAAAATAGACAGCTTCGGAAGGTGGCCGCTCACACTGAGCCTGGTTCTGCTGGAGGTTTCTAGCTGTTAAAGGGAGTTTTTCCTCTCCACTGTCGCTACAAGCATGCTTAGTGTGAGGTATTGCCTTCGAGTCAATAAGTCGATGCAATCGACTGTTTTTTTCTTGGATAGAAACTTTTAATCAATCTAACTGGATGATCTGGTGAACTGGAAAGGGCCTTGAGATGACTTGTGTTGTGAATTGCCGCTATAGAAATAAACTGAATTGAATTGAATTGAATTGAAAAGACGTTGCAAACCCAGTTTTCAACATCTTTTCAACAATCTGAAAAATACAGTTTTTCACCTTTCACTTTTCTACGTCAATTGGATGTAAATCATGTCCTCTTATTAGTTTATTTTCAACCAAATTTTGCTCGGTGGGGAAACTACTGGAAAAAAAAGAGACACTAAAGAAGCTAAACTAAGGTCAGTTAGATACAAAGTGACTAAAGAAGGAGCCAGAGGACAAGAGAAAACATCGAACTAGTGTCAACAAGAAAAAACGGAATAACAATTACCCGAACCAAAAACTAATGTGAGGCTTAAGGCAAAACCAGAACAGGAAATTCTTTAAGTAAAATGTTAACCCTAAGAAAAACACCAAACTGTAAAGATTTTCTAAATAATAATTAAAGTTCACAATAAAAAACAAAAAGAAAGACTGAAAGGATCCCAAATCATGACATGCAGTTCAACAAAAACTATAAGTACAACAACAAACAAAAAAGAAATCTAAGGTGAAAGATTTTAATGCATTAATGATATAAAACATCAAGCCACTCAGTCCCTCATCCACAATTAGCCAGTCGGTTTGCTGGGAGAGAAGAAGAACAGGTGGCTGCAGATGGAGACACAACACTTAAGATCAATATATTCTCAGAGGATGACTGATTTTGCTGTTAACTGAAGTGAAACAACTGAAAAGGAAACTGGCGAAGGCTTGTTGCACGAAGTAGTTATTTTATAAAAAGCAGAATGAGGAAAGCATTTTAAAAAGAGGGGAACTGAAGGAGCAGAGAAAAAAAAAGGAGGAACTATTCATCCCCTTTTCTTCATTCTGCTCAAGAGCTCTGCTTTTTATTATTTCCCAATGTGCTTAGCAACGGTGCAGCAGGCGATACGCCAACAAACCTATTTGGACTGAGTTTTCCCTTCATGTGATGCAGTCTTGGACAGGTGTGCTGTGGAAAACACAAACTAAAGCAGGTATAAAACAAGGTCAGGGATATTGATGTGGAATTATTAACAAAGTAGAACAAGCACAGGGAGGAGAGGAAGAAGGCATGAGAGGAGCAGAGGAGGAGGAACCTTTGCTGCCTCCAGCCTATGAGACGCAGGAGGGAGGTGCTTAGATGATGGGAAGGAGGGAGCATCGAGACAGCAGACAAAGAGGGAGAAGAACCGGAACATGTTAGGAGAAGGAGGGAGAGGTGGGAAGGTAGAGGTAGGCAGAGAGAGAGAGAGGGATGATGTTGTACAGAGAGGGCGTCCGCAAGGCTGCAACCCTTCATCCTCTCATCAAGAAACAGGATGTGTTATGGAGCAGTGATGTACAGGTTCACTGCAGAGGAGGAAAATGCAGATAGGAGTTCACCTTTAGCTGGAGTCCAATTGTGCCTCACTGGACCTTTGGGACTACAACCAACCCTCTTTAATCAGACAAATAAGAGCAAGTGGGATTTAATTAGACCCGACAGCCTGCCAAAATAAAAGGGACCTCAGCCTCGGTAACTTCTGGACTGCTGCTGTCTGCAGAAGCCAGGATTCAAACAGGCTTTTGCTTTGGCAGTGGACCGTCACAGCTGTGTTCATGTAGACTGTGATTTCCATCCAGCCCTCACACTGGAACCCCACAAAGCCAAGCAGGTTCCGCGGCTCCGGACCCCCGGAGCCGGCCTGACCTTGGACCAGCTGTCGCCAGAACCCCTCCTGGCACCGGCAGAAGCCTCCGGCATGTCTCAGAGCAGAGGGCGGTACCACAACAAGAAAGCCGGCATCCGGGCCGCTGTGATCCTGATCGGGCTCCTTCACAAGTCCCGGAAGGCCAAAGAGAGGGAAAAGGAGAGAGAGCGAGAGGAGGGCGAAGGGTGGGTAAAGTTTGTGTTGTGCTGAAAACTTGAGTACCTAACGTCTAGTTTCTCCTGGAGCGATTCAAGCCTCCTTTAGGGAGATCGCATCTGCAGTTTTGTTATAATTCCTTTCAGGAAATGAAGTTTTTTGGGGGGAGGGTAAATGCGGTTGACCACACTAATGCTTCCACTGAGGTCAGCCCAGATTGGCACATTTAGAGACGGAAAGCTGTTGAGAAGTTTGGGTGAATAGAGGTCTGGACAGAGTGCTTCTCAAGAGCAAACAAGAGAGAACAATGTTACTAACAGAGCTTCTCTTGTTTGTTTTCTTAGTAATCAGCAGTAAACTACAGAACTGGGCAGATACGCTATATAAAGGGAGCTGCCACTGGATCAGCTTGCTCTAACTGAAGGAATAGTAAATATGAGAACTTCTTTCCTTGCTTCCTCTAAATGCACATCCAAAGGGAATTTCCCCTTCTGCTCTATGAAAGCCGGTCAGTTTACAGCTAATACTGTATGCAGTCGATTAGAAATTAGACCCCTGAGAATATCCCACCTGGTAACAAACGGTGCTTCAGGGTTGGCGGGGTCACAACCTCAGCCCTCCCCCTCTTTGGTGTCTGTCAACCTGTTTGTCTTAGCTAATATTTGCACCAACTGGTGCGTGGCTAAAGTGGAACATGAGGAGGCTTCTGCAGACTGAACATTAAGTAATATCACAGTGGAGGACGCTGACGGTTGTCTGGATGAGGTGTGTGTGTGTGACTGCAGTGAACGCTCTCTGCTGATTGCTTTTATAATGGACCAAAATAGGCTGCGTCAAAATAGACTGTAAGTCACTTTCCAAACAGCGCCAAGTGTAAATCGTTTGAGCCTGAGTGAGAGTGTGTGTTAAGGAGTTGAATTACCTAAAAATAAACTTCTGGGGGTAATAATGGATCAGAGGGCGTGCAAATTAGGGATTAGCCTCGCACACCATGGATATAAACAGTTTTCAAATTGTTTAGAATATTGTCTATTTTATTTTTAGAAAAAAACTTTTATCCTGATGCTTGAAAAGTGAGGCAGGGAAAGCAGAATAAAGCCTTAGCCTCGCTGCATGCAGTTAGCCTAGCCTTGTTGCTATATAATTCTATAAACCTGTCAATCAGCCGCATTTTATAACAGACAACTGTGACGTCAACGCTGTGGCGTAAGGCGGTTTGCAAATAAAGTTGCTTTCAGGTCTGGATGAAGGACAGCTGCTCCCCAGGATGCACCTATCTTTAGCATTGAGGAGCTAGCCTCTTGAGACCATCCTGATCTCGCGAGCTTTCAAGATTTCACTCGCTAATCAATCTGGAGACTCTCCGTTGAAGAAAATTTGGAGCCGTTCACCAAACGAACGTCCAATCAGCGTTGGCTTTGAGGCGGGTTGAGGTGTGACGCAACGAGAAGCGCGACAGTTCGGTCTAAAGAACATGGCGGCTTCAGCCGATGAAACTAGCATTAGCGTGGCTATCGAGCAAGTTTTATCGGAATTACAGAGTATTTCTTCACTGAAAGAAGAGCAAAACACTGCTCTGGAGGCTTTTCTCAGAGGAAAAGATGTTTTTGCTCTTCTCCCGACTGGTTTCGGCAAGAGTTTGATCTATCAATTGGCTCCTCTTTGTTGTCGCTCTGTTACGTCATATGCTTCGTTGATCTGAGTGGTTTATTTGGCTCGTCTATCACCAACATAGCTAACCAGTATTTTCGCCCCTTCCCAAAATTACTTCAACGGAAGGTTTCCAGATGGATATGCGGAGCAAATCGATCTGGCGGAGTCAGGTTATTGAGGAGCTACTGTGCATGGACAATGTTTAACCAGTCTATGGGGGAAGATTTTTGTGCCCCAAAGTGGAAATACGTTACCTATCCTCACTATTAAAGATTCAATATTTATTTTTCCCATCTAAAAAATACTTATATTAAAGGTATTGTTGAGGATGGACTTTTTAAAAGACCCGCTATCTCCTCTTTCTTAAGAAAAAGCACATGCACAACCCTGTACCCGCTCCCGAGAGGGAATACCTATTATACAAGAGCCCATTTCTCCTCGTGCACGCTCTCTTCTGTTTAAAAGTTGCTGTTTGCATCGCTCATACAAGCGATTTGTAATTTTTCCACTATGTCAGACTCACCACTGGTAAGTGAACGGCCTTACTTAAACATATCAGAATGATTGACAATTATTACCACTTATTTTGATGATCACCTAGAAAAAGAACATCCTCCACTATACCTTTAATATATTTTGAAATATTTTAATTTTATAATTTTATTTGGTTTTTTCATGTTTATGTTAATTAAGGTCATAGGGTGAGTGGAGCAGCGCCCTATCGCCCTCTATTGGTCAATGGCCTCTGAATAAATGTGAAAAATATTAAGATTTTTATTTGCTCCTTGTTCTCAAGTCTTACATTTAACATCAGATGTTTAATCTGTGTAAGTACAAGTTTTGAAAACAAATTAGAGCAGTGTATTCTCATTATCAGTTCGTATGAAATCGTACGAAAAGTTATGCACAGTATTTCGTAGGTTTTTGACGTTTTTTTCGTCGTATTTTTACGTCTTGCCTCGAGACAAAATATCAGTGCGCATCTTACGCACCATTCAATAACATACAATTTAACATACAATTAACCCTAACATACAAAACAGCAAGCAACCTAGTGAGAGACATCATGAAGTAATTATTGCACTGTCGAAAGCTCGTCCGTCCCAGCTTTATGTCCGTCCGCTGATCTGCTTTTTTCGTCTGGCTAGCTGCGCATGTGCACTGATATGTTTTTTCAAAGAAAAACGTCAAAAACCTACGAAATACTGTGCATAACTTTTCGTACGATTTCATACGAACTGATAATGAGAATATGTTGATTGGAGTTACAACTTTGCAATGTAAATACATCAATTACAAATTAACATTTTTAATTACAATTAAGAAGCTTACAAGCTCTTATTGCAATTTTACAAATGACAAATTTACAAAAATGAATCATAAATTTGCGACAACAAATTTCAACTTTACAAGATCAAACCACTAATTGCTGAGTAAAAATATGCAGTCCCTATTAAACCACTTACACTTCTTAACAGTTGGTGGCAGTAACACGCCTAAAGGTTTTTTTACATCCCGCCTTTTAATGAGAAGAACCGGGAGCATTGATTGAACACTATATAACACAAGTTGAAAGCAACTATTTAGGAAAGCTATTATTATTTTTGTGTTATTTCTATTCTTTAATTATTCTTTAATGGTGGCTGGTGAATAACTTCAAGGTGTTTTTCAACCATCAACTGGTAGAGATTGTAACATCTTGATCAGAGGTTGTAGATTTGTACTTGTAGAAGTTGTGATTTGTAGTTATAGTTCATTACAATTTACTCTCATTTTGATTTTAATTGATGCTGGTGAAGATTCTCAGTCATCCAGGTCATACAGGTGCTGGTCATAATATTAGAATATCATGAAAAAGTAGATTGATTTCAGTAATTCCATTTAAAAAGTGAAACTTGTATATTATATTCATACATTACATACAAACTCATATATTTCAGATGTTTATTTTGTTTAATTTTGATGATTACAAATGACAACAAATGAAAATCTCAAATTCATCATATCAGCGAAATTAGAATATTGTGAAAAGGTTCAAAATTGATGGCCCCTGGTGCCACACTCTAATCAGCTAATTAACTCAAACCACCTGCAAAAGCCTTTAAATGGTCTTTCAGTCTAGTTCTATAGGCTACACAATCATGGGGAAGACTGCTGACTTGACAGTTGTCCAAAAGACGACCATCGACACCTTGCACAAGGAGGGCAAGACACAAAAGGTAATCGCTAAAGAGGCTGGCTGTTCACAGAGCTCAGTGTCCAAGCACATTAATAGAGAGGCGAAGGGAAGGAAAAGATGTGGTCGAAAAAAGTGTACAAGCAAGAGAGATAACCGCACCCTGGAGAGGATTGTGAAACAAAACCCATTCAAAAATGTGGGGGAGATTCACAAAGAGTGGACTGCAGCTGGAGTGAGTGCTTCAAGAACCACCACACACAGACGTATGAAAGACATGGGTTTCTGCTGTCGCATTCCTTGTGTCAAGCCACTCTTGAACCACAGACAGCGTCAGAAGCGTCTTGCCTGGGCTAAAGAGAAACAGGACTGGACTGCTGGTGAGTGGTCCAAAGTCATGTTCTCTGATGAAAGTAAATTTTGCATTTCCTTTGGAAATCAAGGTCCCAGAGTCTGGAGGAAAAGAAGAGAGGCACTTCATCCACGTTGCTTGAAGTCCAGTGTAAAGTTTCCACAGTCAGTGATGGTTTGGGGTGCCATGTCATCTGCTGGTGTTGGTCCATTGTGTTTTCTGAGGTCCAGGGTCAACGCAGCCACATACCAGGAAGTTTTAGAGCACTTCATGCTTCCTGCAGCTGACCAACTTTTTGGAGATGCAGATTTCATTTTCCAACAGGACTTGGCACCTGCACACAGTGCCAAAGCTACCAGTACCTGGTTGAAGGACCATGGTATCCCTGTTCTTAATTGGCCAGCAAACTCTCCTGACCTTAACCCCATAGAAAATCTATGGGGTATTGTGAAGAAGAAGATGCAATACACCAGACCCAACAATTCAGAAGAGCTAAAAGCCACTATTAGAGCAACCTGGGCTATCATAACACCTGAGCAGTGCCACAGACTGATCGACTCCATGCCACGCCGCATTGCTGCAGTAATACAGGCCAAAGGAGGCCCAACTAAATACTGAGTGCTGTACATGCTCATACTTTTCATGTTCATACTTTTCAGTTGGCCAACATTTCTATAAATCCTTTGTTTTTATTGGTCTTCAGTAATATTCTAATTTTCTGATATGATGAATTTGAGATTTTCATTTGTTGTCATTTGTAATCATCAAAATTAAACAAAATAAACATCTGAAATATATGAGTTTGTATGTAATGTATGAATATAATATACAAGTTTCACTTTTTAAAT